TTGGCTGGTGCGGCGGCGGAGGCGGCCACACCTGAGCCAAGGCGCCACGTTGGTGTGGCTCGTCGCCGCTGCCGCCTCCGCCCGCCTGCGGGTGCTGCCACGCGACAGCCGGCGCCGCGCCGCCGGCGGGGCCGCAGTGCCGCATGCCGTAGCAAGCCACCTAGTTGATAGGTAAATACTAGTAATGAGCTATGCATTAAGGCGGGGCCGCAGTGCCGCGTGCCGCAGCTGGCCTGCGCCATGCACACACCGAGGCCGGAGTCGGAATCAAACACGGTGTGGGGTACTGCCCGTGTATTCAGAGCACCGCGTGAGTACGAGGCTGGCGAATACGCTGAATACCGCGGAGTGCCGCGGAGAACGGCGGAGTCCGTGTCCTCTCGAGCGCTGGCTGGGATGCAAGAATGCGGCTCCCGCTTCTAGGGCACGAGATACGGGGAGATACGGGGAGATATGGGGAGGCACGGGGAGGTACGGGGAGATGTCGGGAGATATGGGGAGATGCGGGGAGATGTGGGGAGATGTTCCGCTTCTCTAGGGCACGAGATGCGGGGAGATATGGGGAGATGCGGGGAGATATGGGGAGATGTTCCGCTTCTAGGGCAGCTGGCCGGCGCGGCGCCCGGTGGCGCGGCTAGCGGTCTCTTGCCGCCGCCGCCGCCCGGGCCTGCCACACGCAAACAAGTGAGTAAGTACAGAGAGCACTGTGCATGCTACGTGTGCGTGCTACGTGTGCGTGAGCATACCCCCAGGTGTGCGTGAGAGCATGGTGTGTGTGTGCGTGAGGACATGCCACGTATGAGAGAGAGAAGCGAGGGAGCGACAAGATCATGCTACGTATGAGAGGAGGGAGCCACAAGATCATGCTACGTATGAGAGAGAGAAGCGAGGGAGCGACGAGATCATGCTACGTATGAGAGAGAGAAGCGAGGGAGCGACAAGATCATGCTACGTATGAGAGAGAGAAGCGAGGGAGCGACAAGATCATGCTACGTATGAGAGAGAGAAGCGAGGGAGCGACAAGATCATGCCACGTATGAGAGGAGGGAGCCACAAGATCATGCCACGTATGAGAGAGAGAAGCGAGGGAGCGACAAGATCATGCTACGTATGAGAGAGAGAAGCGAGGGAGCGACGAGATCATGCTACGTATGAGAGGAGGGAGCCACAAGATCATGCCACGTATGAGAGAGAGAAGCGAGGGAGCGACAAGATCATGCTACGTATGAGAGGAGGGAGCCACAAGATCATGCCACGCATGAGAGAGAAGCGAGGGAGCGACAAGATCATGCTACGTATGAGAGGAGGGAGCCACAAGATCATGCCACGTATGAGAGAGAGAAGCGAGGGAGCGACGAGATCATGCTACGTATGAGAGAGAGAAGCGAGGGAGCGACAAGATCATGCTACGTATGAGAGAGAGAAGCGAGGGAGCGACAAGATCATGCTACGTATGAGAGAGAGAAGCGAGGGAGCGACAAGATCATGCCACGTATGAGAGGAGGGAGCCACAAGATCATGCCACGTATGAGAGAGAGAAGCGAGGGAGCGACAAGATCATGCTACGTATGAGAGGAGGGAGCCACAAGATCATGCCACGTATGAGAGAGAGAAGCGAGGGAGCGACACGACCATGCTAGTGTGCGTGAGCATGGCATGGTGAGCGGTGTGCACCTCCCGCCACGGCGAGGTCGTCGCCAAACTGAGCGTGGCCCTACGGGGCATGTCGCGGACGTGTCCTGGACATGCCAGGGCGCGCTGTGCAGCACGATCGGCGGCTCACCTAGCACCACACCTCCAGAGTATCGAATCCAGCGTGGGTTCAGGTCCCGTGGGTGGTGTGGGAGCAGCGCGCCGCGTCCCCGAACTGAGCATGCCGCCGCAGCTGCGGAGGACCGGGCGGGCCGGGGGGCGGCAGGGCGGCGGGCGCGGCGGCGGCGGCCGGCTTGGCGCGCTTTGCCTAGCGAGATTCCCCGAGATCACCCGAGATCACCCGAGATTAGGCTTGGCCCGCTTTGCCTAGCGAGATTCCCCGAGATCACCCGAGATCACCCGAGATTAGGCTTGGCCCGCTTTGCCTAGCGAGATTCCCCGAGATCACCCGAGATCACCCGAGATTAGGCTTGGCCCGCTTTGCCTAGCGAGATTCCCCGAGATCACCCGAGATCACCCGAGATTAGGCTTGGCCCGCTTTGCCTAGCGAGATTCCCCGAGATTCCCCGAGATCACCCGAGATTAGGCTTGGCCCGCTTTGCCTAGCGAGATTCCCCGAGATCACCCGAGATCACCCGAGATAAGGCTTGGCCCGCTTTGCCGAGCGGCAGAGAGAGGTGCGGTGAGGGGTAGCAGCGGCAGTGGCAGCGGCAGACAGTGGTGGTTGAAGCTGGGGTTGGAGCTGGACGACGCTCCAGCGCGCCGTCATCTTTTCTCCACCAACCCCCCCCCCCCCCCCTCGGCGCTGGTGTGCGATCCGAGCCTGCCTGTTCTTCGCCTGCTCTCCATCTATCTCGAGGCACAGAGCCCCCTCCAGGCAGCGGTGAGGTGTGGCGGCGGTGCGGCGAGGGCAGCAGCGGAAGGGAGAGCGGCGGTGTGGGGGTGGCAGCGGCAGGGGGGCATCTCGGGCCATCTCGGGCCATCTCGTGCCATCTCGGGCCATCTCGTGTAATCTCGGGCCATCTCGTGCCATCTCGGGGCATCTCGGGGCATCTCGTGCCATCTCGGGCCTGCTCGGGCCATCTCGGGTAATCTCGGGTAATCTCGGGAGGCAGGCCTCCGTCACGTAGTCCTTGTCGTACACAGAGAGGCCGAGAGCCGGGCCTGGGGCAGGTTCGTCAAACGAGTGACTAATTAACTAAGGCCGCGCGCCGGGCCTGGGGTAGGTTAAGCAGTCGATCAAATCATTAATTGTTAAGGCCGAGTGCCGGGCTCGGGGGAGGGGAGGGGAGGGGGAGGGGGCGAGGGAGGGGAGGGGGAGGGGAGGAGGGGAGGGGGAGGGGGAGGGGTGGGGGAGGGGTGGGGGAGGGGTGGGGGAGGGAGGGGGTGGCGAGGGGGTGGCGAGGGGGGAGGGGAGGGGGAGGGGAGGGGGAGGGGGTGAGGGAGGGGAGGGGGAGGGTGGGGGAGGGGAGGGGGAGGGGGGGGGAAGAGGTGGGGAAGGCGGCAGTGGCGGGCGGTAGCGGCGGGCGGCGGGCGGGGGCGGGTGGCGGCGGCAGGCGGCGGATTGCGGAGGCGGCGGCGCACGTACCGGTACAAGTGCAGGCTGTCTCTCGGCTCTCTCTCGGCTCTCTCTCGACATCTCGGCTCTCTCTCGGCTCCCTCTCGGCTCTGCCTCGGCTATCTCTCGGCGCACCAAACAGGCGCAGCCCTCGCTTCATGGCATCGGTGACAGCCTCCTTGCGCGCATTCTCGATGGCCTTCCCTCGGTCCTTGTCGATCTTGCAGCCCGACCCGACCTAGCCGAGACGCGGCCGAGATGCAGCCGAGAGGCAGCCGAGAGGCAGCCGAGAGACAGCCGAGAGGCAGCCGAGAGGCAGCCGAGAGGCAGCCGAGGGGCAGCCGAGAGGCAGCCGAGAGGCAGCCGAGAGGCAGCCGAGAGGCGGCCGAGATGCAGCCGAGAGGCAGCCGAGAGGCAGCCGAGAGACAGCCGAGAGGCAGCCGAGAGGCAGCCGAGAGGCAGCCGAGAGGCAGCCGAGAGGCAGCCGAGAGGCAGCCGAGAGGCAGCCGAGAGACAGCCGAGAGGCAGCCGAGAGGCAGCCGAGAGGCAGCCGAGAGGCAGCCGAGAGGCAGCCGAGAGGCAGCCGAGAGGCAGCCGAGAGGCAGCCGAGGGGCAGCCGAGAGGCAGCCGAGAGGCAGCCGAGAGGCAGCCGAGAGGCAGCCGAGAGGCAGCCGAGAGGCAGCCGAGAGACAGCCGAGAGGCAGCCGAGAGGCAGCCGAGAGGCGGCCGAGAGGCAGCCGAGAAATGGCCGACAGTTTGCCTCGTCGTGAAAGGTGCCGTTGCGGAGTGAGATGCGGACCGTCGCGGAGTAGCTGTACGTCCAGCGGCCGTTCTTGCTGTCATGGTCCTCGTACTCTCTCTGCGCGGCGGGCGGGGAGCGGGCCGATTGGCCGCGTGCGGCTCGGAGAGCAGGCGGCCACCTCGAACCGCCGCGCCTGCAGCTGGAGGATCCTCGACGACCAGCCATCAAAGCCGAAGATCTCTTGCGCCTTGGCAATCACCCGCCAGCCTTCGACGTAGGCAACCTGGCCGGCACTGCCGCCCGATCGCGTCGAGATCTCGTCCGAAGTCAGGTTGGTACGCAGCTGGTCTTGCATCCGGTTTTGCTCTGCGCCGTCAAACGGCCGGGCCGGGTGCTGAAGATCAACGACGCCACCCCCGCCGCCCCCGCCGCCCCCGCCGGCGCCGGCGCCGCTGCCGCCACCGCCGTCGCCACCGCCACCGCGTGGCTGAAGGTGCTGCAGCATCGTGTGTTCGCTCCCGACGACTACTGGTCGGCGCTAGCCGCTCAACTGCTCCCCGGCGGCCTCGCAAAAAAGAATTCTCCGGCGCATGTGCACGGTGAGCTTGGGTTGTCTGTTTTGTTTGTTTCTTTTACCGTGAGGTGTGATACATTGGCGCGTAAAGGGTCAGTCTGGAGTCGCGTGCCTCCACAACGGAAGAGCTACGCAGTACACACACACACACACACACACACACACACACACACACACACACACACACACACACACACACACACACACACACACACACACACACACACACACACGCAGTACCTGACATCACGTGAGTACCCTACGATAACTAGTGGCCTACCACAATATACCTACACGAGTTGGGGCCCTCACCCCGATGCAACGACTACGTCCCGCTGTATTCCGGCCACCGGCACTACAGACACAAAGCAAGGATGCACGCGGGAACACGTCGCAACCCAGCGGCGGAACTCGACCCTCTCGCCTACGGATGCCCTCAGTTGGGCTACAGGTGCGGGGCAGCGACTTGTGCAATGAATGACGCGGCCGCGGCCGTTACGCAAGCCCGCGACTGCGCGCAGGAACCTGGCACCCTGGGGGCGACCACTGGGGGCTACTGCCCTACAGCATTCCCGGAGATTCAGCCTGGCGGCGACAATTTCCTTGGATCCTTTTGCGACTGGGTCAGCACAAGCACGATGGCCGGCGGCTACGCCCAGCCAAGGGATTACATGGGCGAGGGTTGGTACCGATTCACTGGAGCTGCGGGGACGCGCCTGTTCGACGTAGCCCTCGACGGGACGGGAGTGACCATCGCGTCCTGCGGTTCAAACAATTTCGGTTGCCCGTGCAGCGGCAAGCCCATCACCCTCGAGCGCGGAGGCCACCCCTCGGTCGAGGACGGAGAGGTGGAGAGGACGCTCGGGCCTTGGCAAGGTGTGGGAGTCTCTATCAAAATCAAGATCATCAACTGCCCGGCAGGCTACTACGTGTACCACCTCCCTGGCGCACCACTCTGCGACATGAGCTTCTGCGGCGGTGGCGAGGCCGAGCCGGACGCGAACGGTTTCAGCCCGCCGGAGTGGAGGACTGCTGCGCAAGTTGCGGGCCGCTAGGAGAGGGATACTGCGGGGGGGCTCGGAGCTAGGGGGTGGGGGGGAGGTCGGGGCCGGGGAGGGGTGCCGGGGTGCCGGGTCTCGGTTCATGGTTTCGACTTTCGTGTGTGACTATGGATTTCTTATGCGTTATGGATCCCTACGAATACTTGGCGTTAAAGCTTAAACAAGCTTAAACAGAGCTCAGAGGAGAGTGATATTCTAAGATCGGGTCGCGCACCTGGCCGAACTTTCATTTTCGGCCCCCGGGCCTCACACCCCTAGCAGCCGGGGTTCGGGGCCGCAGGCCCCGAGAAAATTGTGGCATCTGAGGCCCTTTAAAACACACAATTTTAAAGCCGTTGGTGACAGGGCTCACACATGGCTAGTGCACACATCAGGCCACATTAGAGTAGAGCGTCCCTGTGTCGTGGCGGCCTGTGTCGCCCGCCCCTGCCTCTCCCCGTCGCTCCCGACAAAGTCGGCTATCAGCGGCTCGACGAGGTGGCGGTGCGTGAGGTGCATCGCGTGGTCCAGCCCAGGCGCGTCGAGTCTGTGCCAGCAGGCGGTCGGCAGCAGCTCGCGGAGCTCTGCGTCGTCTGGCGGCGGGCCGGTCGCACTGTCCCTCTCGGCAAAGAGGAGGAGCGTCTGGCAGGAGGAGCTGCCGAGCGCGCGGAGGGCGCGGCGGTTGTCGAAGACCTCGGCGCAGCAGAGGAGGGTCGAGAGGTAGGAGCGCACCTGTGAGAGAAGAGGAGAGCGGTGCCGGAATGAAAAGAAAAAGCTGTGCGTACGTGCAGAGGCAGGAGCGCACGATCGCGCGGTTGCAGTCGGCGTTAGCGATGTACGCGCGAAGCACAGCGCCGCCGTCCGTCATCGCTCGCAGCTCGCGCGCGTAGTCCCTCTTTAGCGACGCGCGGCACCGCGCCGCCCACCGCACGCGAGCGAGCAGCCCGAGCAAGCCACTGCCAGCCAAAAGGCCAAGGTAGTCCCTCGGCGGGAAGAGGCCGGCGGGAGCGATCATCACCAGCCGGCGCACACGGTCGCGGTGGCGGACGGCAAAGTTGGAGGCGATCACCGCCCCAAAGCTGAGCCCGACCAGCTCCAACGGCCGGTCACCGATGGAGAGCGTATCGAGCAACTCCTCGAGCTGGCGCACGTGGTAGCCGATAGTCATCGGCCCGCCAGCGCAGTGCGACCATCCGCGTCCAGCCACGTCGTAGGCGAGGACGCAGCGGCGGCGCGCCTCGAGGCACGCAATGAGCGGCCTCCACACGTCCACGCCGGGACTCGTCATGCCGTGTATCAGGACGACGATGCATTCACCCTCCTTGAGCCACCGGATGTTGAGGTGATAGCGTGTGAGACCATTGCCGCTCAGCATGACTTGCTGGTCGCCAGAAGGTAGCGGTCGGCCGTCTGCGGCACACGGGCCTATGGGCATGACGCGGCGCCGCCAGTACAAAGCCGCGAGCGCCACCGACGCAGCGCCGACAGCACCGACGACCTTCATGGAACCGAGCATTTGAAATGCCGGTCACGCGCGAGACGCAGTAGATATAGGAGCGCACACACACCACGCACACGCGCTGAACGCACACCGCACACATAGCACTGTGTGGAACGCGGACAGGCACGTTTGACAGACCTAGACGGGAGGGAGGGGTGTGGTGGGAGGGAGGCCCACTAAACTTGGAAGACTCTTTTTTTTATTTTGAGAGCGCCTTCGTTGTTAATAGTACAAACCCAATGGTCCTCTGCGAGCGGTCCTTCGTTGCAGACGCACACACGCACACGCCGCGCCGCACCGCGCGCCCGCCCACCGCCCCGCCCAGGCGGGAAAGAGGTGGGGAGATGGGACAGCGAAGGAGGAGCACGAGCACGTATGGGAGGGTTCAGTAATGCGCCACGCTGCCCGGCGTTTCTCACTTTCCGGGACAGCCCCGCCCTTGTGAGGCAGGAAAGTGACGGCTACCCCGTACGCGCCTGCCGCTCTACTCGTCGCCGACCGCCCATTCCCCCCTCCTCGTTCCCCCCTCGAATGCTCCGGACCCCGACAAGCCGCCCGACGTTGGGCCTCTGCCCCGCACGCCCCCGCCCCTCGCTCACACCCCGGCCCGACACGCACTCTGCCCCGCACGCCCCCTTTTTTTTATCTGGCGGGCGCGAAACTCTACCCTCTCCTACCCTCTCCTACCCTCTCCTACCCTCCACCCTCTCCCACCCTCTCCCACCCTCTCCTACCCTACTCACTCACACCGAGCAGTCGACGTGCGTGCCTATCTCGACGACAGCGTGCCCGGCCAGCCTCGCCGTCGCGTCCAAGCGCAGCCGCTCCGCCGCGCCTCCTGCGACTCCGCGGGCTGCCGCAGCACGTAGTGTCGGCCGTACTCCGCCACGCCCGCGAGGACGTCAGCCGCTCACCGTCTCGACCGCCGCCTCGATTGGAGGAGGGGGGATCTCGACCCGTCGTTCCGTGACCTACCGCGCCAGCGAGGGCTCCTGGTGCGCCGCCCGTCGGTCGACGCCCTCGCCCCTGCGCTCCACCAACGACGCCGTCGCTGTCCTCGCCGACGTGACCGTGATTCGTTCGAGGGCAGCCCATCGCCCATTGGATGCAGCCGAGATGCAAAACCCAAAACCGCCGTCCCCCCCGACCCCCCCTGGACGCGTCCACCCTCCGTCAGGCGGCCGCAGTCTTCTGTGACCCATCCACCTCTCCCTCTCGTGTTTTGTCTTGGGGACATGCTCGCCCAACGGTACGGCGGCATTCAGAGACCCTCGCTACCCCTCCCCACCACTGCCTGCACGCTCCGCGTGTCAACACCGCCTCCACTCTGTTTGCGCCGCCGCCGTCGCGCACGTCGACAACTCAGCCCCTGACATGGCCGCCGGCACGCGTCGCGTCCGCAGGCGGCGTCTTCATCAGCGCCGTGGGGAATAAGCGCCCGTGGGCCCCTACACCCTATGAGGAGGGGATCTCCACCGACGTGAGCGGAATGGTGCCCGGCAGCAAGTACGCGCTCAGCTTCTACCAAGCTAACGCCGGCGTGGAGGGTGGCGCCGACGGGACGCCCCTCGGATCAACCAGCCGCTGGGAGGTGAAGAGTCGGCATGGGCTCCCCCCCTCCCCCCCCCCCCCATCGGGATGTGCCCTGCACATGCGTCGTCCGCGCGACTCATTAGGTCTCGCTCGGTGCTGAGAAGCTGCTTTCGGAGGAGATGCCCTACTTGGGAGAAGGAGCCAGACCTAGATGCCAATGCCAGTATCTCTGACAAGTTGCGAGGGGGAGAGCGCATGTGGTTGTTGTCAGTTTGGTCCATCGCAATGAGCCCCACCCCCGCCCGATAGTAACGCCGAGCACACACTCCACTTTACTCTCACACCCTGACGCCGCCGCATTGCAGGCAATCAGACGTGGTCGCTGCAAACGCTCATCTTTACGGCGGACGCCGCGTCGATGCCGCTCACCTTCATGGTCAACGTCCCAAACATTTCGGTTTTGACGACCATGTACCCTCGTGGTCAATACTACGTGATGGCGCTCGACGGCGTCTCCATCGACTGCGCGTGAATGAAAAAAGTTGGCCGAGGCGGTTGTCATTGCTAAAATATCACTTCTTCTAGGCGCCCTTGACCCAACATAGAGGGCGTTGTGTAGCATCACATGGATCACAAGTGTGTGTGTTTCCTTTCTCGTGTTCGCGCCTTGCGGGGGGGAGCGGAAAGGAGGAACCTCTTCCCACAAGAGCACTACTCTTGGACGTTGGAGCGCCCCGCCACCCACCACCCAGAGCTCTCACGACGGGGGAACCGCCCGACCGCTCCTGGGCGGCACTGCCACCGCTGTGTCGCTCGACGTCCTGCGGCCGCGTCCTGTCGACAGCGTGCGCTACCATCAACCAGTCGCGCTCCCAATACGTGCATCACTTTTGTGACAGGTCTCAGACTTTGAGCGGCCATAT